TAGGTCTAGATTGGCATAAAAGCATTAAAATAATAATTTCTATATCAGCAAGTCAATCTTTTAAAGCTACCTCAGCATGGAGTTTAAAATTACAATTTTTTTTAAACCTCTTAGGCACCTTTAGATAAAAAAAATTTATTGACAAAAATGGTATGGCATTTATTTAAGGAAAAAACAAACGTTAGTTTAACCAAAAAATTTCAGTCCGGAGTTAGTTAAGACCCTCCAGCCCCCTGACCCTCCAGATCAGGTAGCTGAAAACGATGCCTTGTATTCAGTAAAACTCAAATGTGTGGCTCAGTGGTCTACACTTTGCCTGATAGTTTGTTGAGTTCGTCACTGCTTTTGTAACCAAACAACCTCCATGTTACTACACTGGACAAGTTGACCCCTGACGATAGACACCAGCCCTGAACAGAAGTGGGGGTAAAGAAAATGGATGGATTGTAGTGTTCTTTCCTACCAGTATGTTTTTTAGGGTTGTTTTTTGGAGCAGTTGTGGCTGAGTGGTTAAAGCAGTCATCCTCCAATGGGAGAGTTGGGGGTTCGATTCCACCAGCAGTCACATGTTGAAGTACCCCTGGGCAAGACACTGAACCCTCATTGTCTCTGCTGTGTAGCCCATCGGTGTATGAATGTGATCTAAATCACTGATTAGTCTTTACAGATTCAGATTAGTGTTGCAGAGATCTAGTAAGAGTGCTGTGTGAATGTGTGTGTGGAGGTAAATGAGGGCACAGATTGTGTTGTAAAGCTCTTTAAGTATCTTGATTAGATAGAAAGGCGCTATACAGTCCATTTATCATTTTTTTAAGCCATAAAAATTAAGAAAAAGTCAGGCCTTCGTTTGGCTCGGCATTACCCTAGCCTGGACGAAAACCTTTAAGGCCGATAAAATACTCAATACTGATAACTAACAGAATATTACTTCAAAATTGACTGGAGTATCCTTCAAATACTATTAGCTTATCACGAAAAGGGACGGCACTACAACAGGTCCTACCAACACAAAAGCTTTCATCTTATGCTGTGAAGCCGCAGCTAAGTTACTCGTGTATCATTTGTTCCTCACTAAGGTCTTCCTTGCTGAGAGCTAAAGACACACAGTGTTTTCCCTAAGTTTCTGGTCTGGGGAGGTGTCAACTAGGGGTGCACCAATTTCAGTTTTCTGGTTGATCACCAATTTTTAGAAAGCCTGACCTGCCGATTCCGATTTTGGCCGATACCGATTTTGTTTTATAAGCGACTTTCAGGTGTTATAAGGTCACAATGCACCTTCAATTTTCCAATCTTATTTTAATGAAAAACACACCCTGGAACAGTATCCTAGAAACAATACAAATTTATTTTAACTGGCCATGAGGTAGTGGCAGTGCTCTGAAGTATAAATGAAGTTTAGGCAATAAACTACAAAATTAACACACAAAAAAATCAGGTCCTTTAAGTCTTTCATTTTTTACATTTAAAAAATCAAAACTTGAACAGATAGTGTAGCATGTGTAACATTTTCAAAAGTTCTGTACCTGCATAGCTGAATGGCTGGCCAGCTGTTGCTCCTTATCAATGTTCTCCTTTGAGATTTCATCATGTACTGCAAACAGTAGACTACACTTTTTGGCTGTAGGTGCATCTATGTCAGGTGGTCCCACTTCAGAGAATGTTCCTGCAACAGGTTTCTCATCCATAGGTGTGCATCTGTCTCTCCCTCTGCAAATTAGGCCAAAAGGATCAGTTTCACTTCATCCTTCACCTCCTCTGAGAAGTAGTGATTCTTGTACCTTGTTTTGCATAAACAAAGAAAGATGGGTCAATCATTGTGTTTTGTATACATTAACAAGGTTTATGACTTGCATGTAAATAAAGAAATACATTTCAATCAAGCAATTTTAATTTTTAATTTCATTTGAAATGTTTGTTGAAATATAGTAGTAGGCTAAAAATAATTATGGCTAGAAAATAGAATATTCATAGTTGCCTTGGATTGGGGTACAGCTGCACCAGCTGTCCCTCGTTTACAACAAGTTGCAGTTGTGCCAGGCAGGGTAAACTTTTCAAGTTGGCATCATCCAGTTCTTTGACCATATTACGAGCGTTGTTCCGTAAAACAACGTGTAACAGTACTTGACTTTCGAACTGTTTGTCAGTCCACTGTGCAGTAAGACTCAACATGGACATTAAACTTACATCAGAAGTCCAGATGTCTGTTGTAAGGCTGTGTGTCTTTGCTTTAGCTTTTAGCAGGCTGGGGGTGTGTCTCGAAACTTGGCCGAACAACTCCGGTAATGCAATTTCTGAAAAGTAACTTCAACTCGGCATACTATATCGTGGGCTGCATCAAGTTTCTGAAACCTTGGTCCTCAACAACTAAAAGTGGCTGGTCGTCCAATGCCATGAACTCCATAACTTTCCTCGTAGTAGCTTTGCTCTAGTCTTTTCATTGCTCATGAGAGCTAACAGCGGCCCACCTACTGGCTCTTTGCTTCTGCTAGCTTTAGCTTTAGCCTTTGCTTGATTGCTTTCTTCAAATGCTGCATACTCAGCGGTGTGGTGATTTCTTAAATGGCGAAAGAGGTTTGTGGTATTGAAGGTTTTGGTTGTGGCTCCACCACAACTTACTTTGGCTTTACACAAATTGCAAATCTCTTCTTCTTTAACTCTATAGTACTTCCAAACCAATGACATGGCTGCTTCGGGTGACCTGTGACTTTTGTTAACGCATGTGCAGACGTGACCTGGTGGGCAGGTCTGTTAGTCAGCCCTCTCTCACAGCAGAGGAAAAAGGGGACAGCAGCTGATTTTCAGACCTTTGCGGAGGCAGATACGATTTGTGGATAAAATCAGTTTCTCATTTAAAGATCGGCCGATCGCCGATCTCCCAAAATTTAGGAAATAATTTATCGGTGCACCCCTAGTGTCAACAAACTATAAATTCAACATTTGAGGAATAAATAGAATTACATTAAAATGCATAAAAAGTAGGGTTTTTTTTCCCCCATTTTGCTGTGTTATTACCAGTTTGATATTGCAGTTTTTAATATTCAAGTTAGTACTTTAAGCAACAAGAAAGTCTATAAATTATCATTTTAAACACACCACTAAATGTGAATATTCACAAGTTAAAATGTAAACTCAGTGATAAAACTCCTACAGCTTGGCACATGATGTTTTTGACTTTATATAAATATGCTCTACTCAAAAGGATAATATTTTAAATATTTTAGAACAGGTAGTCTTTTGCACAGTACAACTTAACTTAAAATTGCCATTTTTTTAATTGCCAGACTAATTTCTCCTTTTCAAACACTATTCTATTCAAGTAGATTAAATGCATTTACTTCAGCTCACACAGTTATTTTAAATAATTCACTTTTCATTTTTAATCACTTATTGAATTCCTATAATTGTGGACATACAGATATACGTCTTGTAGTGTTACTATTGTTTAATTCTGAGAACCAAAGTAGGAGAAACAGCGAGTCAGACTTGAGTGAACACCCAAAAAGTATCCCTGCTCTCCTGCGGCGTCACTCTTTGCCAACAGGAGTTTGATTGCATGTGCAAGTAGGATGTAGGATTAGGCCTGTCGCAATAGACAATAAATCAATTAATTGCATGATAAATTAAAATTATCAACGTTATTTTCATTTATCAGCTTTGTCGTTTCTTCATGTGACTTGTCTCTTTCTACTGAAGACACGGCTCAACTCTGGTGTTCTTCACTGACCCCTCCCTTTCTCTTTTCTCTTTAAAATCCTTTTATCCATCTAAAATTGCGTTTTTGATCATTAAAAGCATCTAAGCTGAGAAGCTAAGCTACGAGCTAAGCTAACAGGCCGACCTTGGGGGGAAAAAACCTCCATCTTGTTGAGCTTCAAAATTCACGGTTGAAGCCTGTGCGTTTGTGTAAAAAGTTGGTTTTCTCTGCAAAAAGAATCTGAGAACTTGTTTACTGATTTTTTTTTAATGAAAAGTTTTGTGTGAAAAATGCTATGCTAAAGAGCTCAAACCACACCGAGGGTCCGCCATGTCACCATGTCAGCCCACGTCACGTCAAGGGACCTCCCTCCCATTGTTCTTAAAAGAGACACGCTGCTCACTCCTTCACTATCCATCCTTCCGTTCAACCGATCTTATACTGCCATCTGGTTGTCAAAAAAGGTACTACACTCAAAACAAATCAACTTCTTATATAATTTGACAATTACTAATTATTGTTAAATTTCAAACTATATTATTGTTTATTGCAATAATTTCTTAAACAATCACCCAGCAAAATGTGTTATCGTGACAGGCCTATGTAGGATACACTAATGATGACATACCTGACACATTAAGAAACAATGGTAAATTTTAGTTACTAAAGTCCCGATAAGTTCAGGGGGGAAGGGAGAAGAGGGTGATGTATTGGCTTTGGTGTCTTCCCCAGCTGCAGTAAATGGGTCACGTGCATACACGCAGATGTTTATGACTTTATTAAATGTGCTGACCTTCACAGGGGGCAGACAGTTCCTTTGGGGTGGCAGGGTGTCCTCCTTGGATAATCATAAGAAAAATGATGACAATAGTATTAAACTAATATTAGAAGAACTGACAGTAAATAAAAGTAGTGACTTAAAAAAGTAGAAAGCTTTAGAGTGGTCACCAAAATAAAAACGTAAATATATAGTTCTTTATATAGCTACACAAAGATTCATGCATATGGTATGCGTATAGGTGCAGAGTGCTAATCTAAAAAATGCCAACTGCTGTGTACAAAACGATAATGGCTGGTTGTGAAATGACATTTGATGAATGATGTTAAATTATCTGTCCAGATGACATGATTTACCTTTTCATTTTGTGGTGTTAAATTATGTTGTGTTACAAGTGAAAAGACGTTTCACTGGTTTTTACTGTAACAAAGTTTAAAATGGATGTTGAGGTTTTGCTGAAAGACAGTGCTTTGGAAAAGTAATTTTTCTGTAAGACTTTCTGACCGTGGCTTTTACAAGGTTCCCGCCCTCTTGGCTCTGCTGGTCTTGGATCTCAGCTTCTAGGCTGCAGTGGAAGACGTGTTGACTCATTCAGCAGCTGGCAGAGAGCAAACAGTAGAGGTTCTGTCTCTTTTCCCAGCCCCTTGTTTATTTCCACATTTTCAATTAAACAGTGTGGGTTGTGCATGAACAAATATCAAGGACTGTGGGAATCATTTCCAGATGTGGGTTAATGAATGGAAACTGCTCTGCCTACAGAGAGGAAGTTTCTGCATCTAGTGAAAGGAAAGTGCAACAAGATATTGTTATTGCCTGCTACCAAAAGATGGGGCATACTGTTTTGACCTGTGTTTGTGTATGCATGGCTATACGTCTGTTAGCAAAATATCAACATGAACAATAAATACATTTTAATGAAACTCAAAAAGTGTTTTAACGTACATGTACAATTTCTTAACTATGGAGTCAATTTGACTCAAGATGTCCACCACAAATTTATATTTTTTAATCCAAGACATAAATGGTCTTACTGTATATCAGTTACTGAGCTAAATTAAATATTGAACTAAAGTTTCCTGTGGCAGTACCTGAGAATCATCCTGAACAAAAGATGAACTTGAAAACTGACACCAAAGGTGATGAGCAACATATGCATTTTTTTCAAGGAAGCTAGGCCTGTATTTATTTGACATGGCATTCACTTTTGCAAATTATTATTTTTTTAAGTTGTAAGGTTTGGGCCATTCAAGCTGATTTCCTTTTGAACCTTTCCTTTTTTTTTTTTTAGATTTTACCATGTCCTAGTTCTCATCTTATTTCATACTGTAATAGCTACACTAAACCTGTGTGACAGCACTGATTTTTTTGTAATTTTGTTGCCCTGTAATTTGCTAAAGGGAAAAAAATGTTAAAACATTTGTTGCCTTGCTTTTGCAGGCTCCTATCCTGTGCTGACCCAATGGTTTAATCAGCAGGACCAAAAATGAGCATAAGCAGCGATGAGGTCAATTTTCTGGTTTACAGATACCTGCAAGAGTCGGGTAAGTCTAAAGAGTTCCTATAAATGAAGTTTGTACTTTCAGTAACTTCCATGAATTTTCATTGCTTAAGAGTTATTACAAATGGACTTGCCTTTTTATTTGCACTCTGCACTTTTCAGATGAGCTCTGACACCATCCTGCTTTCTAATTATTTGTTTCTGCGCCAGGTTTTTCTCACTCAGCTTTCACCTTTGGCATAGAGAGCCACATCAGCCAATCCAACATCAACGGTGCCCTGGTGCCCCCTGCTGCTCTCATCTCCATCATCCAGAAGGGCCTGCAATATGTGGAGGCAGAAGTCAGCATCAACGAGGTCAACGCTAATGTTTACATTCTTAGGAATAATTACTGAAAACTTTTGGCTAGAAAAGTTGCTCTGTTACATTTTGTGTTAGAAGTACCAATCACAAGTTTCAGGCCTTACTCAGAAAAGTTTGGTTTTATTGGTTTTGTTTTTTTCTGTGCAGGACGGGACCTTATTTGATGGACGACCCATTGAGTCGCTCTCTCTGATTGATGCCGTTATGCCAGATGTAGTCCAGACCAGGCAGCAGGCCTACAAAGACAAGCTGGCTCAGCAGGAGGCAGCAGCGGGCAGCGGCAGCAGCACAGGACCCCAAGGTGGCGTCAAGAACGGAGAGGGAGCTGCCAATGGAGAGGAAAATGGATCACACGCCTTAGCAAGTAAGCAAGCTTGTGGTTTTGATCGGTCTGATCAAACAACCGTTTCTTGTTGTTTGTTTACTGTGGAAGAAAAAAATATATATATATACCTGTATACATATATTCAGCAGGATTTTATTTCAGATCATAATGTTTTGACGTTCTTTTAGACCGTTATAATGTGCTCACACTTGCTTACGGTTTTCAAAGTTTAGACACACTTGCTTTTTCATTTTAAACAAGTGTTAAAACATCCCGATGCATGCTCAAGTGTTAAAACAATTTATTTAATTTCTGAGATTGAACATTTCTTTGTCTCATTAGCTTGCGCTTCAGTGTCTGTGAGATAGTTGTATTTGTATTTGTGCCTTTTTTCTTATTATCTGCTTTGCTGCAAATACATCAACTAGTAGTGCAGTTTTCCTGTCAGTTTTATTACTGTTTTTGACTGAAAGTGGAAGTGGTTGTGTAGAAAACTACAAGTATTTTAAAAACAAGAATCAGTTGAATGTTTGGATACCTTCACACAGTGCTGTTACTCGCACCCAGTGGTGTTAGATGTTTATCTGTAGAGCTTATTGTTCTTATGCTTGTTAGTCTGAACCCTTCAGTTCAGTATAGTTTGCTGTCTTGTTAAGTGTTGACTTCCTGAATTAGGGTTTAGAAGTAAAGAACACATTTGCTGCATTATTTTTTTTTATTTTTTTTTAATGGAATTATATGATGTCAGGTTGTTAAAATGACCCTCTACCCTAAAGTGATAGTTTAGCCATTTTAAAGTTTTTAGGAAAACAGAAGATGGAGGAGAATCCAAAATGCAGACTCAAATAACACAGGCGTAAACTCAAAATAGAGAAAACTGAAGCTTCTCATAATAAATACAAAAAATCCCCAGCAAAAATGTAATTAACCACTATTCACACAAGGAACAAGAACCACGAGAAACGGTTCAGGGTTTCCCCTTGATAACTTGCCATGCCGGGGCACTCGTCTCGTCTGTGAGTTTTGTTGACGAGGGCGGGGGAGAGACACACACATCTGAATCTGAGCTGCGTGCTGTTTGTGCCGACATTTTTCGAGGTGTGGGGGGGGGTGCGTGTTTCAGCATGAGGGAAGAGACAGCGTGAGCTCTGCCTTTAACTTTTTAGCTAGCATGCCTGTATAGCACGCCTCTAGCTTAGCGCTAAGTCAGGGCTGACGGGTGGGGTGTGTGTGCGCAGTTCGGTTCGGTAGGCAGGGTGGGGTGCCCCACTTGTATAATGGGAAACACTGCAGTTTGATGGGCTGATGATTGCAAACCAAATAAGCTGGAAGGCATGATTACTGGTGAGGACAGCTGAGACTAATGAACTAGGGGCGAGAAGCATAGCGGTACATTAGTGCCGACAGTTGTCAAGTTGGGGGTGGGGGTGGGGGGGTGTTTAGAGAGCTGAGCTGCTCTAATCTTCGCTCCCTGTCTGGAAGTGGCGGAGCAGAGTAGTGGCTGGGGGATTTGGTAGGCGGGGTGCTAGGTTCTGTTGACAGGGCGGGCCGCCCTCCTTGGTTAATGGTAGCGGAAACACTGATTTGGGTTGTTCACTTTTGAACCTTTAGTTGTATTTTTCCATTAACAACGCCTACACTTCAGGAGACAAACTGCAGCAGAGCTGGTATAAATAAAAACTCAGGGGAAAGACATGAATTAATATTACAGAAAGAAAAGCTGGTTTTATTATTTATTTTGTAGAAAATGTGTTATGCTGCTAAGTTTTAAGTTACTGAAAAAGTGTTACTCATCTGCTGTTCTGCTCTGTGATCCTAATGACCCTCAGGTGGGAGGGGAGCGAGATTAATCTGCGTGTGAATCTAGCTGCATAAACAGTTTCTCATTTGTTTTAATCTTGGGACTCCACACTTTCCAGTTTTGAATTGATAAAACTGCTCAGATAGGAAATAAAACATATTCAAGTACAGAAGAGAAGTTCAGTTGTTTTATTTTTATTTATTTATATTTCTGGATTGTTAAAAACAATTTAAAAGGAAATAAAACAAATCAAACACTAAAACCCAGGAGGATTATGACAAAAGTGGGATTCTGTGGAAACGTTATGAACAGTTACTATCTTACCTGTTATAGTTCTCTTTTTAATGGTCTCCGTTGGTTTATTCTGACTGGACTGACAAACTAAATGATATTTTAAACAGCCAGAATGCTGCAGTATTAAAAAAAGCTTGTCTCCAAAATGTGATAGCAGTTCATACAAATGTTTATTTAATGTTTGAACAAATGTGAATTTTTAGAGATTCAATAAAATTACAGGAAGGATAATTTTAAACACTTAATATTGCTAAGGAAATGTTTTAAATAATTGTATTGACTCTCTTTATTGTTTAGATCACCACGCAGAAATGATGGAGGTGGACAGAGATGTGGAGATCCCTCAAAGTAAAGCAATGGTCTTAAGGGGCCATGAGTCTGAAGTTTTTATCTGTGCCTGGAACCCAGTAAATGATCTCCTTGCCTCAGGGTCAGTATTCCTTTATATTTGTGGCTTAGAACAAGTGTCTTAACTGAATTGTTGTGTACCAGCATATAGGTTTCTTTATTATTTAATCATTGTCTCATTAAAAATACATTTTGTAATATGTAGTAGAAAATGCTCTTTTACTGACAGCTCATAATTATTTCATTTAGTTTGTGATCAAACGTGAATGATTAAATCTTAAATTAACTTGTTAGTTTGGATCAGACAAATTTAAATAAAAATCTTTAGTGAGCTAGATAACCTCTATCTCCTTCTCCATCTACTGCTCATCTTGTTCACATGGCAACAAGTCCAGGAGAGAAACCCAGATATCCCTCTCCCCAGCGACGCTCCAGCCTTTCCTGGGGGATCCCAAAGCCAGAGAGGATCCCTCCAGTGAGTTTTGTATTTGTCCTGGGGTCTCTCCCCAGTGGGACATGCTCGAAAAACCACCAAAGGGCAGTGTCCAGGAGGCATCCTAATCAGATGCCTGAACCACTGACTCCATTTGATGCAGTGGAGCAGTGGCTCTACTCTGAGCTCACCCGTTTGACAAAGTTCCTCACCGTATCTCTGAGGCTTAACCTAATCACTCTATTAAGGAAGCTCATTTTGACTTCTTGTATCCAGGATCTTGTTATTTTGGTCATGACCATAGATGAGGAATGAATCATGGACCAGTAAATCAAGAGCTTTGCCGTTCAACTCAACTTTTTCTTCACCATGATCAACTGAAGCAACAGCCTCATTACTGACAACAAAGCCCATCATATCATCACTCTTGAACAAGACACCCATACACTTGAAGTCCTCCACCTGAGCAAAGACCCTCACCCTACACGGAGGGGGCATTACACCATTTTCCAGTGAGAACCACTAGTTTAGACTTAAAATGAGCCAGGGTTCCCAGCGACTCTAGAAATCAGGGAAAACCTGGAAAATAACTTACATATTTTTCAGACAGGGAAAAATCAGGTAATATGAGAAAAACTTAAAAAATCGGGGAAATTTCAGGACATTTGAACACTGATCTGCTGATTAAAAGATAATCTCAGATTTTAACATATGCATTTATTAATGTTAGTATTCTAGTATCACTGAGTATGTTCTGCTACTACAGTGAACATAGTACATGTATCCGTACTGATTGGCTACGATTGATTGTTTTTTAGTGTCTGATGTTGTATATTTAATATGTTCATATAACATATGTTTAATATGTTAAATATTACACTATATTTAATTATTAGGAATTATTACTGTATGCACGTATTGTAGGCTTCAGTATATTTCTCTGAAATTTGCCTCTGCTGTCTGTTCTGAGTTCTCTGAGTGACTGAAATATCTCCTGGACCTGCAGGATTTACTCAGGGAAACATGGAAAACTCAAGGAATTTTGTTTTCATTAAAATCTGAAAACCCTGATGAGCGTACTCCCAGTTATAAAATTAGCCCTGAACCGTCCGAGTGCACGCAGTCATGTTGTCATGGCCTGAAGACGCCACCAGAACCACTTCAACTGCAAAAAGAGCCACAGACTGCACCTTGAGATTCTGTCCACAAACGTCACCAATCAGGATTGGTGACAAGGGGCTGCTATGGACTCCCCAAGAACGAGCTTGACTTTGTGCCAAGGATATGGTTCTACAGAGACCAGATAGCCTTCAGAAGCAGCCCAGGCACCCTATGCACCCCCACAGAATGTCTCAATGAACATGGTCACATGCCTTGTCCAGGTCCACAAAACATGTTTATTAAAGAGTCAAACTCCCATGACCCCCTTAGAAACCCTGACATTAGCATATGACGGGTACTCGAACCCCTCCACCACATTAAGGTGGCAGTTCTGCAGAGGGAGCTACTTTCTAACTGTAGTTAAACTTTTCTGATTCAGGTTTATAAAGTAACTCTCTCTTGTGCTGGGACAACTGCATAGCTTAAATGCTAAATTTGTCGTCACTTAAAAATATTTTCTCTTTGTTGTGAATAGTTTTGTTTCATAGAGAAATCTCAACAATAATTTATTTAATATATCAAAAATTTCGTGCGTTTTTGAAAATGTCTCTACATCGGTATTGTTTGTTTGTTTTGTTTATTTGGTCAAAGTCCATCTTTACCAGATTAATCACAAAACATGTTTAGTAGGGATTTTAAAAAGTTTGGGATTTGATAGTTACTTTTGTTTTGATAAAATGCGTTTAACTTCAACCACCTCAGGATCTATGATGGTCTGTTCTAACCACTTTCACCAATGTTCCTACAAGCTGAATCTTTCTCAGCTTTTAATATTAGTCATGTCCTAATTCTGACAGGTCCGGGGACTCAACAGCTCGAATCTGGAACCTGAGTGAAAACAGCACAGGCGGATCCACGCAGCTCGTTCTGAGGCACTGCATACGAGAGGGGGGACAGGACGTACCCAGCAACAAAGACGTCACCTCACTGGACTGGAATGTGAGTGTGTGCTTCAATTCTATGAATTTATGTTACAATAAGGACAATTAATGGGAGTCCCATCTGCTTCTGTGTGTGTGTGCTTTTATTAATGCCTGAAACCACTTCCTCTTGTGAATACAGTTCTTCTAGTGACAAGTATTTTCCTTCATCTTTAGAGGAAATGTACCTTTTTTTTCTGTAACCTACTATTTTTCTCAGTAGCTCAGTAGACATCACTCCTCTTACCTTTTGATATTCATCTTACACTTTACAAAGACAGTGACCTTTGCATCGTAAACGAGGCACATTTAGGAGAATTAGTAAGCAGTTACAGTAAATGCAGATATAACACAAAAATATGGCCTTTACTAAAATCATTTGTCTTTCTTCCAGAGTGAAGGCACGTTGCTGGCAACAGGGTCATATGATGGCTTTGCTAGAATATGGACAAAAGATGGTAACGCTCACTGCTTCTGCTACATATTTGTTACTCACACCAAACACTTGCGGCTTTTTGAAGTAGACTTTGGTTATTTTATTTTCAGGTAACCTGGCGAGTACTTTGGGTCAACATAAGGGCCCGATATTTGCACTCAAGTGGAATAAAAAAGGAAACTTTATCCTCAGTGCTGGTGTAGACAAGGTAAGGCAGTTTGACTTGACCCGTTTTGTGTCTTCTTATCGCCTGTCTTGTGTGTGTTTTTGTCGGTTGAGTTAGCATTCCAGACATCCATGGTTTTAATAAAATTTTCAGAAATTACTGAATTCACATCCACACCTACATTTTTTGGAGTCAACATAGTTCAAAATGGTCACCACTGCCTAAAAACCTTGTAAACACATAAATTGCTGGCAAAAAAAATTGCTGCTCAGAAAAATGTTTGACAGCTGAGGTGTGTTCTACACAGATCCACACTGCCATCTAGTGTACTGTAGTGGAATAACACGCGCTGTGTCACCACCCTTTTTTCTGAGTGGGACCGGATGACATGAAGGGCTTCTTGTCTGATACAAACATCAATTTGCACAGCTCGCCTTTAATAATAATATTATTACGAATACATTTACATATATGTGAATATATGACTGTCTGTTCACATCGTAATGTTAAGGACTCCTCACAGGAATTATCAATAAAGATTTATCATGGCAGATATGATAAGTTATTATTGATAATTAGTGATTAGAACTCGAGTTGTCAGTTTGAATCCCTTTTGGGGCTCTTCTGTGTCTCTAAACTGCCCCTAGCTGTGAAACAACTCGTGTCACATTAGCACTGATCTTCAGATCTGCAGCATTTTAAAGTAATCATCACATCTTTTACTCTTTTAAACAAATTACTTTTCACATTCTTCATCATTGCTTCTTTCAAGGTGTCCCCATCTGGAAGTGCCTCGTGAAGAAAGACAGAGCTAACAGTCAGAGCTGCCTTTAACTCCAACATGTTTCTGCCCATTGGACTGCCAGGCGGGCAGTTTTTAAAAAAAACTTTAAATTACTTTATTTTACCAGGAAGAAATCCATTGAGATCATCAATCTCTTTTACAAGGATGTTCTGGAGTTAGCAATAAAGCTACATTGTTAGCTGGTGACGTGTCGCTCCACCTTGTGGTGTTTTGCTGTCGCTCCACAAATGAGACACACGTGCACACTTGTCTTTCACAAGTGTTAAAAACCTCATCCTCCCAATCCCTCTGAAAATATGTTTTCTTATGTTTTTCTGCCATTTCCCCTCTACTCTAAACAAAGCTAGCAGCTGCACTGTTCAGAGATTGCGGTGCGTCTGCTCGTGATTCTGAACTTTGACCCCAGATAAGGTCACTAATATGTACACAAAGAATTACTTTTAAAAACTTTAATCAATTATTTTCATTTCAAATTTACATCCATGCAAATGTTGTTACTTAAATTTAAAAACATATAATTAATGACGATTTTTAGGCGGTGCTCCTTGATGATGAGTGCTATTTTTAGAACACGCCCTGCAGGCGATGGGTCCCAGGCACTGTGTCGGTGACCCCTGCTGTACATAATAATACCAGAGTACTAAAAGGTTCTTCATTCTGTGTGAGCTAATGTTAGCAACCCTGTGTAGTTCTGCACATTATACAGTTCAGTGACTCAGGCTGTTTTTAAAAATGACACAAAACTCTTTGGTTTTGGGTTTTTGTTGTATTATTTTTTCAGAAGTTTGAAGAAATGAATCAATATCATTTCATTATAAATCACATAAACCTCCTTTTCTACACAGACAACGATTATTTGGGATGCACACACAGGAGAAGCAAAGCAGCAGTTTCCCTTCCACTCAGGTGAGTGACAGAAGTCAGCTGGTTTGTTACATTTGACTTTATGCAGCAGTATTTAGACAACGAGACTACTGATAATAAATACACTTTCTGTTTGTCGTCAGTCAGTTGTGATTGTTATTGTTCGATGTTACACAGACAAGCTTATGTTCTCACTTCTTACACGGTTTAGAGCACACATCAGTGTTTTTTATGTAAAGTTGTAATTTAGAAACAACTTATTTTACTCATAATATTAAATACAAAGTAACAAAGTCAGCTGTTAACAACAAATGTAGGTTCAGATCATTTCATTTTCTGTCTGTATACATCTGTGCCTGCCAACAGCACCTGCTCTGGATGTAGACTGGCAGAGCAATAACACGTTTGCCTCCTGCAGCACAGACATGTGCATCCATGTGTGTAAGCTGGGTCAGGACAGACCTGTCAAGACCTTCCAGGGACACACGGTAAAACAGCTCTCTTGGTGCTTCCTCATAAGCTGCTCTGCTCGTCAAATAAACTGTAACGTATGCAGAGGCAATAAATACGCCTCATCTATCTTGGTGCTCTTCAGCCTCTTTTGATTTGTTGAACATCGGCTTAAAATTGTTTTTTATATCAGTTGTTGGGCTGCTATGAGATATTGGAAGATTTTTTCCCCAACACCTAAAACTCCCAATGTCCCCGTTTTTTTTTGTTTGTTCTTTTAAAGCCCATCATCTCCAGCATTTTCTCTGTACTGAACTGTGCTTCCCAACCATCTGTCAGGATGTCAGTAGCAAACAGGAAGTTGATGTCACCTTTACTTTTTCCTCTGAGCTACTTTAAACATTTGTAAATGTATAGATAATTTGTTTACACTTGTTAAATTTCCTGTGTTTTATTTATTTATTTTATTCTAATCCGAACCTTTCCAGAATGAGGTGAATGCCATAAAGTGGGATCCAACTGGCAGCTTGCTGGCCTCCTGCTCTGATGACATGACGCTGAAGGTCAGTTGACATGTTTGTATACTTAATGTTTTAAAATAGATCTACAGCATTTATTAACGTTGTTTCTCTGTTCTTCCTGGTATAGATCTGGAGCATGAAGCAGGATTTGTGTGTCCACGATCTCCAGGCCCACAGTAAAGAAATCTACACCATCAAGTGGAGTCCAACAGGCCCGGGGACCAACAACCCCAGTGCAAACCTCATGCTGGCCAGGTAAAAGCTCTCTGCAGCAAGGTTTTCACAACATGTTGGTCAGACCAAGTATCTATTAAGGAAGGATGATTAAATGCCGTGGTCCTATGCAGTCATGGGAAGTTTAAAAAAACAAGGATCTGATTTTAATTTTCCAGGCTTAAAATAAGATAACAGTACAAAAACACTTCTGTTTCCTTACTCTTTTCTCCTTTTCTATTTTTTCTTTTCTTATTTGAGCACAGTGAGGCAGTCTAATTTACATCATACACCAACGTCCATGCTCAGTAATCCAGGTATAGAGTCCAACAATGTTCAGTCAGGTCATCTGGATGGTTTCTTTTTTTGCTGAGATGTTTCATCCTTCATCCAAAGGACTTCTTCAATCTGAGAAGCCACCGAACAAAACTGATTCCCACAAACGGCATATTCCGTAGTGGAAAAAAACAGTTTGCTGGTGATAAGATGGCCTCTGGGGCCACTAGGGGACCCCCTAGGTGGAATTTATTTTATTTTTTTGTAATTTCTATATGATTCTATTACACACAATTTCATTACAAATTTGTGATTTTTTTTTTTTTTACAGAGAAAGTTATATTTTACCAGTTTGTTAATAGTTTTATCAATGCATTCTGCCATGTCTGGCCTTTTGAGGACATTCATGAGCTTGATGTGGCCCAAAATGAAAATGAGTTTGACACCCTGCACTTGATGATTTATACATAGGATAATGTAAACAGGGCTGAGTTTATGTTAGGTGGGTGATTGATCTGATCATCTGACTGTTGATAGCAGTACAGTAATTGTCAGACTACAAAGCACACCTGTGTATTAGCCACACATATGAACTATAAAAAATCATAATTTTGTACATAAATAAGACGCACTCGCTGTTAGGCCACAGGGATCCATTGTACAGTGAATACCCAACTCAGTCTGTTCTTGTTGTAGTACAAGAGTCAGCTACTTGATGTCGTTCACAGACTATGGCTTGTTTCAACATGCACTAAGCTTGAATGTTGATCCTAAGTATACATAAATCTTCAGTATTAGACTCATGGTGACAACCATTATTCCTTCAAAATGAACAAAATACTGGCAAATATCTACCGGCAAGCATAATCACTGAACATTAAAGTGCAAACACTTACGTAACTGAAATTATTCTAAAGTTATATACCGGGAAATATTACCCAGAATTCTTAACGGGGTCATGTGACCGGAAGTGAGGAGTGAAAACTGTAGTACAGATAAATGTGGTAAATATTCATTAAATCACTGGTAGTACCACTGATTTTTATTGTTTAACAATATTGGTATCAGCTGCTGTTTTTAAATCTACCTTTACTTTCTAAATTATCTTATCTTAAATAAATATGACGGGATTTCTCTTCAGTGCTAGTAAGGAGGGGAGGGTGTAAGGGGGAACAGCCCCCTCCCTCTCCCCCGCTCAGTTTCATGAGTGAGACGAGCTTAAATAATATACCTACTGGTATTTAAACACATTTACCGTAGACAAAGATTTTTTTTAACTTTGATTTAAATCTGTACTTGTCTTGAGTGGCTGACTGCTTTAAAATAAAATCTTGAATTTGCTGCGCTCACATGAGGGGGAGGGAGTGGGAACAGCCCCACCTGTTGTCTCCGCTCCGTTTAATGTTCAGATGCGAGCTTAAAATTACGGTAGATCTGTGTATTTAAACACACATGTACTGTACACAGAAAGATGTCACACAGAAATAATTTAAAAATTAAAATATGTACAGACTTGACTGATTACTTCTACTTCTATTAGAGTACTTCTGCTCAGCTGAGCTTACATCTGGATCAACTGGATGAGGGGGACAGCCATAGGCGTCGCAACCATTATATGTGAAGGGGACAAGTCCCCCCCCCACATTAAAAAATGTTCATTGCCCCCCCACACACACACACACACACACTTTTACTATAAAACATTAGTTCAGGCGGCGCAGTTTCTCTTTCTTCGTGAACAAATCCATTCCACTTGATTAATAGGAGAATACTCAGGCCACTAAAACTCCACTCAAGGTTTTCCTGGTTACATCCAACTCTCCACCGTCTCTTCCTGCCTCTTGTCTCGGCAGAAAACGCGCACAGGTGGAGGAGGTGGAGGTACCTGTGTTGCTCGCCAGTTTAGCAGCTTAGTGTGGGCAGTGGTTGACCAAGGGGTTGATCATAAACATATATTCATGTTAGGAGGATGTTTGAGAGGAGCGCTACGTCTGTAGCATGTGAGCTGTAACTGTGACGCTGTCAGACGCTGCAGGTGTAAGAGACGCTGTGTGTTCAGGTGCATTAAAGTTAAAACTCCAACACCTTATTGTCCTCAAACTTCATGAGAAACATCATTTACATGAGTAATGTTGAACACAAGTTAAAAAAAAGTCCAGTGGTGATGTTTTTTATTTCTTTATAAAGACATGTAGTGCCAATTTAACGCTCTGTATTAAAGTGTATTAAAGTTAAAATGTCTTTAAAATCCACCGATGAATTTACACAAACTTGGTGAGAAACAAGTTTTAAATGTGTGGAATTAAAGGAAATCTAGGTGAAATGCTGCTTTTTTGTTCACTAGTGAATACCTTTTTTTTACGTGCGCACACGTGCACTCACACACATCATTGTCTCCCCCCCCCCCCCCCCCACATTACGGATGCTTCTGACACCCTTGGGGACAGCTTTAACACCAATAAAAATAATAATAATAAAAAAGCACCGATGGTTGACCAGAAATCACTCATGGCTCCATCCTCTGTGCACTGAAACCATGAAAGTCCTCTTCTTCAGTGTCAGAATTGAAGAGGCTCAAAAAGACGTTATCACACACGGGCTCCTTGTCGCTGTCCACGTCACTCCCTCGTGCTGTCCGCATCATCGCGCAGCAGTCCAGCCAAAGTCTGTGCTGTGCACGAGGCGTAAAGTACAGTAATTTAACAGAAGAATCTGAAGAATGTAGCACCTTTTTTTTTTTTCACCTTTGCTTACTGTAAACGGGAAGCCTCATTAATTCACGTGTATCTTGGAGGATGGGTCAGTGACAGTATCTCATTGGTCATTAAGGTTACACTTCTGGTCACATGATGACAGAGTAGGTGGAGTTATGGTAGTGAATTGTGAAACCATGACCCAGAATCATAGCACATCTGATTACCTGCAGGCATTCTCCTCGTCTCGGAAAAACCTGCCTCCAAGAGGAGCAGAGTGTTGGGAGTCAAGAGCACCCAGCCTCGTCAAAAGTAAATCATAGACAGTGGTAGGAAGCTGCCAAGAAATGACAGGAAGTCTGTTAAAATAAAAAATGTAAATTTTGAATAATGTGAAAAAAAATACATAAATAAGAAATGTCTCGTCCATATGACCTGACTGAACATTGTTGTATAATTTACATCATATTATCTGTCAGAAGGTCCTTCAGCTTTATGAAGCATTCATAGTCTTAGAGGTATCTCAGCCTGAAATAAAAAACATTACATTTAAATTAATTTTTGACTCTTTCAGGGCTTTTGATGTTTTAAAACTCCATATTTATTTTTATTTATTTTTTTATCAATCAACAAAATATTTATTTTATGGCAGTTTCTGGAAGAAGGCATTTTCCCTCATATTCAAGGGTCGACATAAACATTTTCCGTTTGTCCGAGAGAACCTGTTTTTGTCTCTTGGACAACCAGATCTCACGTCGAGGTTGTCCAGTGGATAACCAAATGAAACGTGTAGTGACATATCACGGTACTAATGCTAGTATAAGTATGCTAGTATAAGTATGCTAGTAATATGCTGAGCCTGCAAGTGCCTCTTTTGCAAAGTCTGATGACACGAAACAGGATGAGGAGAATGAGGAAGTTCCACTCCAGCAGCTCAGGAGCTTGGAAATTACAAGCTCTCCACAAGCTGGCTGACTGAGAACATGTGTATATACTGTAGTAAACTTTGTAATCAGGGCAATATACTTATAAAATTACACTTGAGATTTTTTGTCTTCTTACTGTAAAGGTTGCGGACAACCAAAACGTTCGGCAGAAAACGGAATTTGACATCACAAATGACATTTGTGCAATGTGTTCACACTAAAAGTTAGTGTCAGAACCCTGTCACTGTTTGGGAGGAGATCTTGTGCAAGTTTTTGTGTGTGTATTCTAAAAAATGAAAAAAGACTGGTAAGAAACTTCTGTCACTGTTGCTCAACAAGTGCTGTTAGTTTGCTGCAGTGGTTGTGCAGTGTGTTTTCGTCACGTGCAGCTTGTTTGAGCTAATGAGTTGCTCTCATGTTCAGCTCGCACAGCGTTTTGTGTCTCACGTCTTTCCTCCTCTGTGTAGTGCGTCATTTGATTCAACTGTGCGTTTGTGGGACGTGGAGCGTGGGGTGTGTATTCACACTCTGACCCGGCACCAGGAGCCTGTTTACAGCGTGGCCTTCAGTCCTGATGGCAAACACCTCGCCAGCGGCTCCTTCGACAAGTGTGTCCACATCTGGAACACCCAGGTCTGACATATGAGGCTTTTTACATGCATGTAAATGAAGTGATTTACTGCTTGAAAAACACTTCTGATGAAGTTGTTTCTTCCTGTTGACAAACCTGTGTGTGTTTGTGTGTATCTCAGACGGGAGCTTTAGTCCACAGCTACAGAGGGACAGGGGGGATCTTTGAGGTGTGCTGGAACGCCACAGGGGACAAAGTAGGAGCTAGCGCGTCAGATGGATCGGTGAGTTCAGCTGCATCTGAAACAGAGCTGTGGGTCATGATCAGAATCCAGGGTTTTTGTTGTTTTTGTCTGTTTTATTTTTTTCAATAATTTAAACAAAACAAAAATATCCTTCAAACTTAAACTCTAAACTGAACAAAATCTCCCAGCTGATACTCCTGTGCCTCTAAGTGACACCATATAGAGCTCTTTGTTTTTACAACTGAAAACATCTCAGCTCAACTCTTTGAGTAAAACACATGTTGGTTGGGGACAACTAGACTTTGTCACAGTTGATAAAGTCAGATATTACATCACCCACTATCTGATCAGGTTCAAACTCACAAAAACTATTTTTATTCACTCTTCCAGATTTTTCTTTTTAAGTCAAATTATACATTCAAATCCAGTTTATTTTCTAATTTTTCTGTTTGGCAGTGTTCATAAACATTTACTGATTTAAAAAAGTATTCAGCTGTGTGTTTCAAATAAAGCATCATATGCACAGTGTGGCAGCGCGGTGGCACAACTGGTAGTGCTGCTGCCTCTCAGCGAGCAGGTCCCCTGTTCAAATCCCCGTCCAGGGGCCTTTCTGGGTGGAGTTTGCATGTTCTCTCCGTGCATGCGTGGGTTTTCTCCGGGTACTCCAGTTTCCTCCCACAGACCAAAAACATGCATGTTAGGCTGATTGGTAACTCTAAATTGTCTCTGGGTGTGAGTGAGAGAGCGAATGGTTGTTTGTCTTGTTTGTCTCTATGTGTCCCTGTGATGGACTGGAGACCTGTCCAGGGTGTACCCCGCCCCTCGCACAGTGATTGCTGGACATGGGCACCGGCGACCCCCATGACCCAAAATGGAAGAAGCGGGTAAAGATAATGGCTGGATGGATGCACAGTGTGGTGAACAGTGCTGTTTTTTCTTAAGGGTTTTAATGTTAGAATTAGGGATGGGGCCGATCCGATCCAGTATCCGTATCGGCCTCCGATACCAGCATAATTTATATATCAGATTTTTCTGATCCATGATGCATGTCTGTGTCTGCTAAAACTTCTCATGGGATTCCCTGCCAGCTGCTCTGCATGTTGGCTTCAAACTATGGAATGGATTTCCTGAACGGCGGCATGTCTCATGAACCCAGAGTAATAAGACCCACCTCACATTCAGGAAATCCAGTTCATAGTTTGCAGCCAGCTACAACGTGAGGACTGAGTTAGCAGCACTGTGGCTAACAGCTAACCAACTTTTCATCTAAACATGTCCGCTGTGTGGAAGTATTTTACACTAGAAACACCACAAAGCAAGACAGCAACGTACAATGTCTACAGAGCCATAGCGCCACATTAAACCACGGTAAAGTTAATTTAAAGTTAGTTAAGCTCTGTGGCTTCAGTGGGGCGCTACTCTTGCTCAACCCGTAGAAGGAAACCCGACCCCGGCCAGACGCACTCAATCTGCCCGTCTCTGAGGAGGGACAGACTGAGCGCGACTGACTGAAATCAGGCTGCTTGCTTCGGATTGAACAAGAAGAAGACATCGCTGAAACCACGGAGCTCAAATGTTTTACAGAGAAGTTGTTAAACTTCATCGTAATTAATGACCAACCACTATCACTTGTAGAAAACGAAAGATTTTGCAGCTTGATACTTGCAGCCAAGATATAGTTTACCCTCCAGGAGATATTTATTAGTACAACAGTACACAATCATAAAAAAAACATATGATATACAAATTACAAGAAAATTATATATAAAAAAAAACCAGTTACATTATAAAGCGATGTAAAATACTAAAAACAGGAACATGTCTGTTGGTTTATGCCATGAATTTAGCAGGTCTTTGAAGCCATTTAACATTTTATTTTATTTTATTTTATTCATTTATTCATTCATTTAAAAGAAACAAAATAAACTAAACAAAATCATCAAAAAGAAAACATTGAATGAAGAGTACAGAAAGAAGAAAAAAGAATTCTTATATCTGCCCCTTATTTAAAAAATATATAAATAAATTTAGACAGTCACTTAAATTAATCACTTTAATATCCATTTTAAAGCTAGGAATAAAAAAAAAACATGTTTTGTGTTAGAATTTAATTCTAACTTTAAAACTTATCCAACATTAATAAAACTTATTCCAAGTTGCCTTTTTGGACTTGCATGCATATATTTGTACAAACTGTACTTGAGAGGAGATTATTACAGCCTCATATAAAATCAATGATGATCATGATATCGGAACTGGATCGGTATCGGCCGATATCCAGATTTGGGGATCAGGATCGGATCGGAAGTTAAAAAATGTGGATCGGTGCATCCCTAGTTAGAATGCAAGTTTATTACATTTATATTCTAGTTATATACTTTATATTTGTACTAATCAAAACGCAAAAATTTTTACTTGTTAAAAGTTGATTTATAATATTACCTTTTGCTCCAGTTACAATTGTTGGAAAATTGCTTTCATCACAAATACCTACACAGATTTAAGGTTTTCGTTACTATTATTACATGTAAAATGATCAAAAATAGGTTGTCTACAAAACAAGCTGCGCAACTTTCAGAATAAAAGCCTGCTGAACACAGCTGAGTTTCTTTCCAATTCAACTAAAATGTAATAGAATGAAGAAATGATGTAGAAACACTTAGTTTAGGCTGCAGTTGTTGCTTTTTATGTCCAGCATGCTGCCTGGTGTTGAACTTGAGATAAAGTTGTTTAATGAAAAACATCATCCTGACAGAACAAAACTGTTTTAGACTGTTGGCTGTTAGCTCGTTCTCTGCTTGTTGTCCAACAACACAGCACACCACCCTAAAACACGTTCTCACTGTATCCAAGATTTTTATAGTTATGAACAGATTTACTGTTGAATTGCTCACAAGAACCTGTCCTCCTTAGTCCTAGGCCCCATGATGCCTTGCATGAATTATGGGCGTGGCTTCCGGACCAGAACTGGCGTTTGTTTATGTGTGAACAGTACGAGCTAATGTAGTTTCTCAGAGCATTGTGGACATGTAGGAACACGACCTATCAGAGCTCAAACAGAACAATATAATCATACTGCTGCCTGTTGAGGATGAGGGACAGAGGACGAGCATATTTAGCTACTTATACAAGCATATTTAGCTACTTATACTAGCATATTTAGCTACTTATACTAGCATATTTAGCTACTTATACAAGCATATTTAGCTACTGATACGAGC